CGCCGCGCGGACCGTCGCCGGCCTGCCGTAACCCCAAGTGCCCGGGGCTCTCGGGCGCCGGGACGAGGCTCGGCTCGGCTCGCTCTCGGGGTGGAAGCTAAGGAATGCCCTTTGTTTAGACAACTTTTCCCGAGATGTCAGTGCGCCCTCTGGGAGCGCAGTCCCCATCTCCCTAGGGCACTGTTTTCCTCTAAGGTCAAGGTCGGGCGCTGACCCTGTCTCCGGGCGCGGAGGTAAGGCGGGAATGGACGGCCCCTCCCGCATCTTGTCCTGTGGTAGGGTCAGCCAGGAAGGGGCTTTACCTGCAGCTGTGGCCCAAGCCAAGGTAGCGCTCTCTCACTTTCCACCCAGAGGGAGGTGGCGGAACCTCATCTATTTGCAGACCTCCTTCTCCACGTGAGACAGGAAGCAATGAGAGTCAGGACCCAGGAGATCCGGAAATTCCTTCCAAGGGCAAGTGCTCCTTGTCTTCAGCCGACAAGCTTCCCTTTCAAGCAGGAGATGCTACTGTGGTCACATCGAAGTGACAGGTACACAAACAGTAAGAACCACACAGCGTGCGCCCCAAGTCCCTAGCCTGGAACGGAGACGTGCGGGGAAGCGAGGAGGAGTTACCCTGCATCCCGGGCGGGCGGGCACTCTGGGCGGGGCAGAGCAGAGCAGTGCTCTTTGGAGAGCTTAGAGTTAGGACTGGGGCAGCGCCCCGCCTCCCATCCCCCTCACCCCCACCCCCCCCCCGGCATACAGAGGAACCCCAAGTGCTCGCACACCTGGTGACAGCCGAGTCTCCAGCCTGGGGCTGGTGTTTTGGTCTCCAATTCTAGACATGAGCAGGTAGTTCAGCAGGACACGTGGCACAATGACCAGTCAGTAGTAGAGGTACCAACAACTATAGAAGGTGTAGTGTGCACCAAGCATTATGGTGGGGTCATAGGACGCTATAACCTTGAGTGATGGATATGTGTGTGGGGAGAGGGGGGAAGTGGGGCGCGGGGAGCTTCAACAAGTGCGTGGAAAATAGTTTCTGAAACCTTCTCCTATTTTTCGTCTCTTTCCTACAGAATAGGAAATGGAGCCTCTCGGTGATCTGCCCAAGACCAGAGGGCTGGTGAAGGGCAGGCCTTCTGGCCCACGGTCCTCACATCAACAGTGCTGTGGCCAGCAGCTTGCTGTAAACTCGGGACGTTGTGGGAGGAAACCGTGAGGTGCTCAGGGTGGATACTCAAGATGTGCTGCCACCTTGGCCTGGCCCTTCCTTGCTGCGTTCCCCTCTCTTATCCAAGCTAAATCCTAAGTAAAAGAACTGCCTAACTCATGCCTCTCCTCCACCTACGCTGTCAAACTAACAACAATATTGCTACTATTGTCTGGGGCCACCTAGGTGCATGACCAGACGTCCCGCTTTTTAACAAATTTTCCCGTGTCCTGCGGCCGTTTTAAAAAGTCCCGATTTTTGGAAAGAATGCTCAACAAGCTAGGGTATACGGTTTTCGGCTGCCACATGGCTATTTCGGCAGGATATGAGTTTTATCAATGGTGTCCCGCTTTTGTCCCACTTTACCAATGTTAAAATCTGGTCACCTTATGTAGGTGCTTCATGCAACCAAACCAAATCTCTTCTGACTATAGCAACCCTGTAGGACAGAGGAGAACTGCTCGGTAGGGTTTAGAAGTAAGGCCAGAGTGTTCCTTCGAGGCAAGGACAGTGAGACTTGTCTCATGTACTTTGGACATGTCTCAGGAGAGACCAGCCCCGGGAGAGGACCATCGTGCTTGGTAAGGTGGAGGCGCAGAGAAAGAGGGGAAGGCCCTGGACGAGATGGACTGACCCAGTGGCTGCACCAATGGGCTCAAGCACAGGAACCATTGTGAGGCTGGCGCAGGGCTGGGCAGGGTTTCCGTCTATTGTGCCTGGGGTGGCTATGGGCCGGAACCGACCCAATGGCACCCAACAACAACATCAGCACTCTTTAGGGACACAGACTGCCTTTCTTTCTCCCAAGAAGTGCTGTAGCCATGGCAACACCCGAGCTCCGTGTGCTCCCTATATCCTGTGCTCTCAGCTCACCGGGAACCCTGCACAGTCGGCACTCCTTGTCGTGGTTGTCCGGAGGTGCCATGCAGTTGATTCTGACTCACAATGACCCGGCTCACAGAGGAGAGCTACCCCAAAGGGTTTCTAATTTTTCCTGGAGCAGACCCCCCTGCCAGGCCTTTGTCCCACAGAGCCACTGGATGGGTCCAAATCCCCAGCCTTTTTGACTAGCAGCCAGCCACTTAACCATTGCACCAACAGGGAAAAGCAACCCAGCAAGGGCGGTCAAATCTTATCCCTGTTCTGTCTGGCGCTAAGATCCCTTGCCTTGCTGCTGCTTTTCAGGGGCATCTCGGAGCTCAGCCTCTTAAAGGTACCTTTCCCTTGATCCCTGCCCTAGCACTGCCCCCAGAAGTTAATGATCTGTAAGGAGTTTCTGAAAGGTCCAGCAAGAGCTTAATGTTTAAAAGAAACCTGCGCACCAACCAGCCCAGAAGCAGCTAATCACCTTCAGTTTACCCATTAAAGTGATTTTGCATGAGGTGGGCGGTTCTTTAGAAGTCCCTTGTCCTAAAGATACCAACACGGAAATCCGTAGAATGCCTGTAACACTCTCAAGAGATCCATGCACCTGAGGGCATTTCTCATCCAGCCTGGAGTCTACGGAGTTCACGAAATGTGTATTGAGCTCCCATTATGTCCAAGGCAGTCCTGAGGAGACAAAAGTTAATACCACAGACCCTGCCCTGAGGGAATTCTCCCAAGTTGGGGATGGGGGAGTGGAGAGGGGCAGGCATATAAAAGAACTTTCTGGATAACACAAGATAGCATGCTCCATTCAGATGGGATGGGGGCAGCACAGATGACTGCAGAAACAGCTAGATTGAGGGGGGGGGGTGTTGGGTGGGAGGAGGCGTCGCAGGAGAGTCTTGGGGAAAGAGCCGGAATGAGCCAGACAGGGAGGGGGTGGGGCATTTTGAATGAATTAGCAGGAGCGCAGCATTGAGGTATGAAACTGCTAGGTTTCAACATTACTAAGTATAAAATTCAAACCCGGAAAGGGAAGGGGGAAGGAGGAGCCTGGAGGGCTGCGTGGTGCTGGCCTGCATGGAGGAGCTTGGACTCCATCCTGCCATGTAGGAGTCTCTAGAGCAGCGGTTCTCAACCTGTGGGTCAAGACCCCTTTGGGAGTCAAACGACCCTTTCACAGGGGTTGCCCAATTCATAACAGTAGCAAAATGACAGTTATGAAGGAGCAATGAAAATAATGTTATGATTGGTGGGTCACCACAACATGAGGAACTGTATGAAAGGGTCGCGGCATTAGGAAGGTTGAGAACCAGTGCTCAAGAGGAACAACACCTTAACCCTTGAGTGCAGCTCAGTCCTAGGCCGGGAGCTGCTTTATTTACTTTAGTGCCAGATCCTTTCAAAGCCAAGGCTTGGAGCAAACTCTAGAAGGAAGACAGGTGCATGGCAAATGGTGACC